CCTATCCTTTATTCTCTCTCTTGTCTATCTGTATCCCCCACTCCTCCTTCGCCCTCCCTCCCTCCTTCTCCCATTTCCTTTCCCTCTGCTACGAATAGACCGGCAGGCAGTTGCAAATGTCCTCTGTTAACCCTTCGTCCTCATACATCATCACGCATCATTCAGTCTCTCTGTTCCCTCTGCCGCCATCGCCTTGCGCCCGCCGTCCTGCGTCGGTCGTCTTGACAGCATCGAAGGCCGCCGTTGCTGCGCCGCACTCCAGCCCGGTGCCTGGTGCGGCGGCGCGCCCCGCCACCCCCGAACGCCGCCGCCGCTGCGGCCCTGCCTGGTCCGGCGCCCTGTACGGATATCGCGGCCTTGATCCGCGCGCCGCACTGCCGCCAGCAGCCGAGCCGATGATGGCGGCCGCGGCCCGTCACGTGACGGCCCCGGGGTGGTGTCTTGGCCGACGTGTGACGGATGGGTGGGCGGGGCTCGGCCCAGAGGTGGCCGCCGTCCGGTGGCGCAACGGCCGGGTCGGCCCGGGTCGGCGGCAGCGTCCCACGCGGAGACGGTGACTCACTGGCCGCAGCTCGCTCGAGCCGCCCCACACCGGCCCCGACGGCCTTCCTCAGGCGGCGCTCCGTCCCGCCGGCCGGCCGCGCGAGTGGCGCCGGTCCCGTCTCGCTCAGCTGGAGCCGCCCCCCACACCGGCCCGACGAACTCTCTCAGACGGGTGCTCCGTCCCGTCTCGCTCAGCTAGAGCCGCCCCCACACCGGCCCGACGACCTCCCTCAGACGGGTGCTCCTTCCCGTCTCGCTCAGCTGGAGCCGCCCCACACCGGCCCCGACGACCTCCCTCAGACCGGTGCTGTCCCGTCTCGCTCAGCTGGAGCCGCCCCACACCGGCCCCCGACGACCTCTCTCAGACGGGTGCTCCGTCCCGTCTCGCTCAGCTGGAGCCGCCCCCACACCGCCCCCGACGGCCCTCCCTCAGACGGATGCTCTGTCCGTCTTGCTCAGCTGGAGCCGACCTTTTACATCCGCTCGGACGGATGCTCTGTCCCCCCCTGCCGCCCGCGAGAAGCGCAGACCTGGCACGCGACGGCCCTGCAAAACTGGTTACACAGGTGGCCACCTCCGTCCGCGCGCCTGATTAAAGTGGACATACATGTCGCCGAGAATACAGAAGAGTGAACATACTTGTCACCGAGGACTCAACAGGAGAGTCACTGGAGCGCGGGGTCAGTCGAATCGGAGGCCGACTCCGCAGCCAGAGGCTGCTCTTTCAAGGTCGCTGACCTTCCTTTCATGGTGTTGTATTGGTGGGAGGTGTGTTACCAATCGCTATAGAGTTAAGTTGCAAGATTGTGTTTTTATTTCAAGGCCCTAAGTAGAACAGTTGGAAGAACAGACTTCTGTCTCAACACGACTGGCTGAAGTTTTGCAGCCTAACCTTGAGTAGAAATCGGGTTGAGTTTTGTACGAGATGCGCTTGATCATTGCGCATCATTCAAGCTCGGCTGACGGTCAGATGAGATGATAAGATGATATGAGATGAGATGGAAATGTAAGATGGGGATATCACTATGCTGCTAATCACGCAACATGATCACCGCTATTGCGGGTACCACTGCTAGTCAGTAGTGAAAACCTCTGCGATGTTGTGCACCTGTTAGCTATGGGACAGCTCAGTGGTCACCAAATCATCCGAAAACGATGTCGAACGCCGTTTTATTAATCGAGGGAGGGGATCTGACACTGACAGGTACGAATTCGAAGTTTGAGCGATGTTGGAGCCTGATGTGGCTAGTTCGCGGTCACCTTTCACATCCTGCATGCACAGAGTTCTATGTTGAGCCAAGTTGGGGAAGTCCATTTGGCAAGCATGCGGCTTAGCATAAGCTGCCCTCCCAAATCCCCCATAAATACCACACCCAGAGACACGGCGCACGCCATGGTGGACCCTCATGGGAATCAAGGCTGCGGTGGAGCTGGCCGCCCGGCCAGCAATCCGGAGGAGAGTCTCGCCCCGGTCTGATGACAGAACTGACAGGCAGGCGCGCAGACACTGCGATAGACTGACACGTATTCGACAGGATCGCAGACAGCGTCACACTTACCGACCTCTGCAACGCCCGGGGATTTGTTTTGGGCGCTGTGACGCCTCGCTGGTGCCTCTGCATTGGACAGACTCACTCTGCAGCTACTGCTCCCAGACGTCCATGACACTTTTAACACGCACCTTTCTCACTTGTGTGACAGGCCTCGTTGGCCTTCCGTGGAACCTACACAGCCAGGCACCTTAATGCTGAATTCGTGACAACATTGACCATATCGCTTAGGATGAGTCCCTCCACGGGAGACCAGCATCGATTTTTTAGTCTGGGATTAGCAGGCTCACGACACGGCACGACAGACCCACATGTCACGACATGCCCACGACACGGCGCGACAGGCCCACGGCAGACCCACAAGACACGACAGACCCACGGCACGGCGCGACAGGCCAATGACAGGCCCGCAAGATACGGCAGGCCCACGACACAGCGCGACAGGCCCACGACACAGCGCGACAGGCTCACGACACGGCGCAACAGACCACGACACGGCACAACAGGACCACGACGCGTCACGACAGGACCACGACGCGGCACGACAGGACCACGACACGGCACGACAGGACCACGACACGGCACAACAGGACCACGACACGGCACGATGACAATCACAACC